GATATATGAATGTGTCAGACCATTTCACTTGGGAAGTTGTTTTTTTCACTCACTCTAACACCTTGCAATGTTCTCGGATGTTGTCATGCCAGTTCTCAAAGTCTGTAAGCTTCATCTTGCAGTTCGAATGGAGAATACATGCTTCAGCCCATGTGTAGACATCTGCATTTTATTTTCCACTATTAGAGATTATAGTTTTAATCTGCACAAGTGGTATCGATTTATACTTTGAAGCTTTGGTCGAGTGTCATCCAAAATAGGCATTCAAAACAACACATTTGTCTTCAAAAGTTAAAAACTTTTCTCTCAGCTTTCTATCTAAAAACAGTTCTCGAGAACTTGATCCACTTTGTCTTTTAAGTCAAGAGTCAAAAATGAAGTAAATTCGGACTTTGTTTCATATGAAAATGAAGCTAGCTCGATCCTTGTTCGATCGAAACAGGCTTCTGTTCGAATATATTCTCGATTTCTCACAGTGAACAGGTCCCGAATCCCACTATATGTTATCCAGGCGAAGCTCCAGATTGACTTCGGATTTAGCACAAAAGGTACTCATTTCATAATTATACGTTTTCATTTTTCCAGCTTCTATCCGAAACCAAGCCTAACTTGTGGAAAAACAATTTTTTTAAGCAGTAATGTTGTCAATGATCTTAACCGCTTATTCATTACAGGCTTAAACCAACCGCTTATTCATCATTGTTGATAGTATGTTTAATTCGTTGATATTTGAACCAGTTGCAACAAGAGTGTCCGATATATTTCTAGATAATGGTAACATCTGCTGGCATTAGAAAATAGCTAAATTTAACTATGGAGAAAAATTTTAAAAACTGTCGGAGCAGCCCGACCCGTCCAACCAGAAAATTTTTCTGAGATGGCCCACCAGGGCCGTCTAGGGTCAGGCAGACGAATGAGAGCTCGGATACTCACTATGAAACTACGTTATAGTCTGATAATTTCTGAGATTAAAATCGAACTATCGGGTGGCGCAGAACAGATTAGACTGTTTGTATTTTCAAATTTTCTTCTCCTTCTTACACTTGATTGAGCTAGTTCTTTTACCAAAAGATTTTCTGTTGAATTCTCTACAAAAAATGTATTGATTGTTCTATTGCAAAATCCGAAGGTGTAAAATGACATGAGAAATGGTGAGAAGTACTAAAATATTGAAAAAATAAACGTATTTACAGTTTTTTAGTATTATCTGCTAAAAGTTTGTGAGAGAGGAAAGCTGAAGTAGCCATAGTATACGCCTCAAAAAGCTCTATTTTCCATCTGTAGTTTGAATAATTTTCAGTTAAAATTAAGGGCGCAGGAATTTCATAACTTTTTGCCAATTTTTCAAAACCGACGACGTTTTACCAATAATTTGATCCGTCCAATAAAACAAATGAGGCTTAGTCAAACTTGATCCATACAGGCTGAACTTTTTATTTTTGAAAACAATTCGAATGAGACGTTGCTGCGTTACGGCCGCATCTCTAAGCGACGGTTCGCCAGCTCATCAAGAAATCAAGTCACGAGTGAAAAATTGACATATACTTTTTATGATCGACAGTTTTTCGACTTTTTATATTCAGCTTTCAAGCAAATTTTGACAACGTTTTTCATTTCTCTAAAAGCTTTCAAAGGCACATCATCTGATGCAGTTTTTGACGCTCATTCCAAATATCACCTTATTTTTGTTTTTAAGTGTGATCACTAAAATCCGCAAAGACTAAAAACTCGCGGTTGGTTGGTCATCTTGTTTTCAAGTTTTGCACCACTTTTAAAACAAAGTTTTTGTGCTCAGTTTGTAGAAAATTGAATTCTCTATCGCATGTGACCTTCGAATTGTTAGGGAAATTCTGTTTGAAGGGTCGAAAGTGCCATTTTCTCGAAAATGTTGACCCTTCAAAATCCCAGTTCTCCAACTGATGTGGGTTTTAAACAGTCACTTCCTGCTTCAGAAAAATCAGGAACTGTGTGATTTTGTTTATTTTTTGTCAGACTTTCGAATGAGACGTTGCGCGAACAGAACGGATAAAAAATGGCGAAGTTATGGTCAAAATATCAGAGATGGCTACTTTACGCAAATCGACGATAATGCTCATTTTGTAAATCCTATAACTCACCCAGAATAAGTCAGAAAATCCTTTTTTATTTTTCATATTATGAAAAATAAAACCAAAAGTGGGGTTAAAGCTCACTTTTGGTAGTAGAACGCGAAAAAATATATGTCAATTTTTCACTCGTGACCGGTCTTTGACAAGATACTCGATCGGCTGGCGAAGTCTCTCTTAATGATCGCGAAACCATTCGAAAAAATTTCGCTCTCTTTCAGAAGATACGTTTATTTTTTCAACATTTTAGTACTTCTCACCATTTCTCATGTCATTTTACACCTTCAGATTTTGTAATAACAATCAATACATTTTTTGTAGAGAATTCAACAGGAAATCTTTTGGTAAAGAACCAGCTCAATCAAGTGTAAGAAGGAGAAGAAAATTTGAAAATACAAACAGTCTAATGTATTCTGCGCCACCCGGTAATATGAGTGTACCCCTTGTAACGGCTCGAGGTTGCCGTGATAGTTTTCGAAAAGCTTGAAAACGAAAATATACAACTATAATTAGTTTTTAGCTATGTTAATTTGTTCCTAAGTGCATAAATTTCTGCGGTTAAAATAAGGGGTGTTGCGTAGAAAAAGATGGAAGACAAACAGAGGAAAACACACAGAAACAGAAACAGTAAAGTGTGGATGATGGATGACAGGTGCATAACAAACAACAAAGGTTTTTATGCACTTTCTAAATAGTATTGATAGCCGAAGCTCGATTTATTCAGAACAATGAGCCATTTACGATCATTTGACAGCTTCGGACTCTCATAATGCGTGTCATACCGATAAACTAGCACCACTCAGCGCTTGTGGGACCTGATGATCTGTGATTCTCCCAAGACGTAACAGAACAATCATCACCTACGAAAAGACAATGGCTGATGGATCCGAATATGAGACCTAAAGATTAGAAAGCGAGATACGTACCATTGAGCTATTGGTCCTTGATGAAGATCGATGTATCTTTCTGTCATATTGTGTACTATATAGTGATGGGCCGAAAGAGTTGAGAAATGAGAGAAAGAAAGAAAGAGAAATTCTCTGATGACTATAACGAAAGGTCGCACGATGCTTGTACACTACGATGTCTATAGTGCGTAAATTTCAGTCATGAATGAAACAAAACAAAACTGATGAACAGAAATTAGGCAATTTTTTCCTTTTATTTCGTTTCATGGTGTGTCGGCTCATCACTATATAAAACTCGTGTTTCCTTATCATATTTTGTCTTAAAAAAATTTTGAAAACTGTTAGCCAGTGTATTCTCCTTATCTTCTCACCTCACGATTTCCTAGATGCACTTTTCAACAGGTCGCACGAGCCCTGCGTGGCGCTGGTTTATCGGTATGACGCGCATTATAACCCAGGTCCAATAAAACGGCACCGTTAACGGTCAATTAACTGGTCGTTAACGGTAAGTTAACGTGCCGTAAACAGACCGTTTTCAGAACCTAACACTCGTGCCGTTTTAGGGTCTTAAATAGATCGTTTTTTCACCGTTTACGGATCGTTTTGTAGACGTTTTCTTACCACTTACTAGCCGTTTATTGAGCGTTTACTAGCCGTTGTTTTGTCGTTTTGAGAAAATGTTAACGGCCCAGGTCGGTCAAAACGACTATCCGTATTTTCACCGTAAATTTGCTTCATACGGCATCGTAAACGGACCGTATTTTCTCCGAATATTGGGAACAGTAATACGGCACCGTATACGACG